GACCGTGAGGGGCCACCTACAGGGATGGTGCTATTCTCTGTGGGAAGGGGCTTCCACAGTCACAGGCCTCGCCTGTGAGGGCCAACCTCCGAACGCAAAACACAGGACCAGAACTGGGGGAAGATCTTTCTTGGGGGGTAGGGAGTAATAACTTGAGAGAGGCCCTTTCGAGGATGACCTCAAGGAATGGGACTTTGCTGCAGGCGGGGCGAGGCTTCTCCTGTCTCAGGCCACTCCAGAATTGCAGCGGGCCTCAGTCGAGGATGACCTCAAGGAATGGGACTTTGCTGCAGACGGGGCGAGGCTTCTCCTGTCTCAGGCCACTTCAGAATTGCAGCGGGACTCAGCGGGTTTTCGTTTCTTTGTTTGTTTGGGGGGGGGGTGCAAGGTGGGACTGTCCCCTGGGGACAGGACTTGAGGCAGAACAGGGTCTCTGAAGTACTGGGCTGCTTAAGGAATAAGGGGGTTCCCCCAAGGGTTGTGAGGTAGGGACTCCCCTGTAGGAGGGCCCCTGACGTCCTGAACAGGGCATAGGGTGTGTTCCCTCCAGTGGGCTACCAGGCAGGAACCCCACCTGAGGGGCTGCGCCTCCTCTTAAGTCCTGGGAGATACTGGGCAGGGCTTCATCTGGGGCGAGGCCAGTCACTGTGACTCGGTCCAGCTTGCTGGCCAGGTGCTCCAGGCCCTCCTTCAGTATTTCCAATGCCCGTGTGACCCGTTCCAGCTGGCTCTGGGCCTCAGCCTGCCGCTGCTCCTCTGCCTTGAGGCGCTGCTGCAACTCCGACTGCAGCTTCTGTTCGCTGCAGGGAGCATGGGGGTCGCCATGGGACCGCTGCTGATCTTGCCAACCTCGCAGCCCCCACCCTTTTCCTAAGGTGGGGGGCTCACCTCACTAATGTGGCCTCCCCCGAATACTTCAGGTTTTCAAGCTCCCGCTGCAGCCGCTGCTTCTCTTGCTTCAGCCTCAGCAGTGTCTGCTCATTCTCGCTCTTGAGCGTCTCTAACTGCGTGAAGGTGTCACCCTGCGCCAGGAACCGTCGCACCACCGCCTGGCAGCCACCCAGACCCAGTCAGAGTGAGGGCCTGGGCAGGCCCGGGTGCCCTCCCTACCCCCGCCCCTTTATCCTGGGGCACGCAGAGCAGGTGGCCTAAGCTGGTGGCTTCTGTACAGCGATGTTTAGAGACTGCGAGTCAGATTCAGGGATGCCTCAAGGGTGGGCAGCCTTGGACAAACGTGTTTGCTGAGTCCTTCCCTCTACACATCAGGAACTCGAATCAGCCCAAAATCAGCATGTGAGGCAGTGACCATAGTTGTTCTCCAAAGGTACCAGCCACATTCTGGCAGCGAGTCTAGCCCAATCCCATGAGGAAATTCTTGTGGTAGGAGCATCCACCCACCAGGCCAGTTTCAGGAAAGGTGACCCAACACAGTGCCCCAGGTGAACCTATAGGTCTGAGTCCTGGAACTCCTCAGGGGTCCAGTGGGATCAGTGTTCGCCAGTAGGGGACATAGGGTCTTAGAACATTTTAAGGAAGACACTGCAAAGTGTGGGACCTAGGGCAGAGGTTTGGCTTGCCTGAGTCTGAGGGTGGCACTGGGCAGTCTACAGTGCCCCAGACCATGTTACAGGCAATGGATACGCAGGAGAGGAGAGACAAAACTCCCAGTTCTCACAGAGCCCACATGCCAAAGAAGTCAGTATCCCTGGTGTAAGAGTAAACAGGAGAGGGAATGATGGTGAATGTAAACAGCTCCTTGGGTTTTGCTGTGAAAGGCCGCAGAGAAATGGTGCAGTAGCTGGAGGAGGAAGGGGGTGTCTTTTAAGAGAGCAGATTTGTGTGCTGAGGAATTGATCCAGGGCATGGAGGGCTGCGGGAAGCACTCACATGCGTTTCGGCCACGCCGGTGGCGTCCTTGACCTTGCCGAAGAGCACCTCCATCTGGTACATGCTCCAGCGCCGCTGCAGCTCCTCCTCCTTTGTGCGTAGGCTGTCCTGGATCGTATCATCCGACTGCAGCAGCAAGTGCTCACGCTGGGTCTGCTCCAGGTTGAGGTCAGGGCCAAGGTCAGCTTATGGACAAGGGCTTAGGACAGAGGCCCAGAAAGGGTATCTGGACAGAGGTCAGGGAGGAGGTGGGACCCAGTCTGGAGGGGGGCGCAAAGGCTTGGGGCCAGATAAAGGCACCTAGGCAGAGGTCAGGAATATAGGACAGGGCCTTGGCCCCTGCACCCCTGGGTGCCCCTACCTTGCGTTCCATGCGTTCGTTCTGCACTTTCTTCTCCTCTGCACGCTTCTTGCACTCAGTTATGTAGCGCTCACGCTTCTTGCGCTCTCGGAACACGGTCTCCTCCAGATACTGCAGCTGGTTCTGGAGGGTGGGCAGGGGAACAGCAGGATCAGCTGGCATCTACTGTGGCTCAGGTAGGGCCAGAGCTGAGGCCCAACTCTGGACAGCTGGGCCAGGCTGCAAGGGCCTGGGAGATAGATGGGAGGGGCTCAGGGAAGCTGAGATTCAGATCCTGGGGCCAAGAAACTATGGCACCTGGGCAGGAACCCCAGGGACCAATGGGCTGGCACCTTGGCAATGTCCCGGGCGTTGAGTGCCTCTTGGTTCACCACATGAAGTTCCTCCAGCTCATGTTTTGTCTTCACCACCTCAGCCTCCATAAAATCCAGACGGTTCTCCAAGTGAAGGCTCTCTTCCTAGGGTGCGGAGAGTGGGGCAGGCCTGTGACCGCTGTCTCTGGCCAGGCTGGCCCTCCCACTTGCCTCCTCCTTTCCAGCCACCATGATCTCTACCTGTAGATAGGCCTTGAGTTGTAGGTATACATTGGTGATGTGTTCTGCCTCCTCCGCCTTCATCCGGGCCTTCTCCAGACGGTTCTCCAGGTTCCGCAAGGTCTAGAGGGAAGCAAGGCTGGGCTGAGTCCCCTCCATCCTCAATTCCTCCTCCTCCAAGATCAACCACCCCCTCTGCCCTACCTGCCCACCCTCCACCCATCCACACCTCCCCACCTCATTGGCCCCACCTTAGCCACCTCTGAGTTGCCATCTTGCGCCTCGGCAATCTCTAGCTCACGCAAGCTGTGCTGCAGCTGGAGCTCCTCCAGCCATTTCTGCCGCAATGCCACCTGGTGCCGCAGAGCGTTGAGCTGCTTCACCTTGTCACTCAGCTGATGGTCCAGGTGCTCCAGGGCCTGCTGGAGGTAGGGGAGCAAGAGCAGGAGCCTGAACCCCCTTATCCTTCC